AAGTTATTGATCGGCTTAAGCTCACGCACAAGTACCCAGGAACAAGGTTGTGCTAGCTTTTATCTAGAGAGACAATGAACATGGACGAAATGTGTGTTAACTTATTCAGGCTCCAGTTTAGACTAAACTCTGTGTTTTGTGAATCAAAGTTTCAAAACCAAGCAGTCGAATATTCCTGGATCTGTTGTGTATCTTTTTAAGCCAACAACTTTGGGACGTTTCTTTACAATTGGAGCGGAAATCAGCTTTGCCATCCTCTTCGTCAGCTCTCCCTCTAAATGAATTCTTCATTTGGCCTTAGTCTCTTTCCTGTTATTATAATAAGCAAACACGAATGCTGAAAAAAATGTTTGTCGGTAATTGCCACCCGAAATTTATTTGCCAGTTAGGCACTCAGCCATTATTTTTCGCCAGAGGGTGGGGGGTAGGGGCAGTCAGAGGAATTTGAGGGGATTGCACGCCTAGAGAGCTGTTTACGCTGCTTTCGTTTGTCTCATTTTGCATTATTGGCTGTCAAGATGAGTAAGCAAAATTAATTAGAGCTACTTGGGGAAACCAAAATATGCGCATCCCGAGGAAGAGAATTAAGTAAATCGTTAGCACTGACTTTGTTCCAAAATTTTCGTTGAGAAAGACGATGTCATTGGAGGCAAGGAAAAGTCTACGAGAGGATTAAAGTAATGGCCTGCGAGCGCGCCCCAGTTACCTGCACTGCATGAAGCGGGACAATTACAGACGGGGGTGGGGAGAGGTTTTCCGAGGGTCTGGAACTCTGTCAAAACACCAAAATTAAATCAAAGTTCCCTTCAGGTGTGTGCGTCCAGTTCAATAAAAATCTGACCCCAAACTTAAATGTACAATTGCAAGCACCAAAACATTTAATCGGGAACTGGCAACGACGGATGACTTAGGAACACTTTTGATTTACCTTCACTCTGCTCCTTTACAATAACGTAATTTGTGTATTGATTGTTTTCTTTTCGCTCAATTGAAATTACAACAAGTTAACGATTAATAATTAAGAATGTGAAGTTGAAAACTAAAAACTGCGATAAATATCAACCACTGAGAGATTCCGAGGCATCTAAGTAAGATACTCCGAAACATGTATCTGATTAAACCACTTTTAGCGTCCTTAGCAATTGCTTTTACATGCGGAGACCCTCGAATGATAACACCTGTCTTCAGGGCGGTTAACTTTGCCAGAGAAATAAGGGGACGACGTCTTAATGGAAGTGTTATTAGAGAAATAGAAGTGGATTCAGAGGGTCTATGTCGACTGCAGTGTGTGGAAGAAAGTTCATGCGTGTCCTACAACTTTGGATCCAGAACAAATAAGAAGTTTAAATGTCAACTAAGCGACTCTGATCGCTTCACTAACTTCAAGAATTTCACCAAAGACAACGAATTTCTGTACAGAGGAGTGAAGGTAAGAAATTCTGAATATCATTTTCTAGAACGAAGCACATGAGCTTTACATTCCCTTATAATAAACTTTGACTTTGCAAAAGTGTTCGCTGAAATGATGTGTAAATTTTTGAGTCTTTCAGGATTCTACTGAAACAACTTCGGATTAAAAAAGAAAACTCAAACCTCCTCGCCCCTTAGTGACGGGAAAAAAAATTATATAATGTGTAAAACAAGGACAGTGTAATCAACTGTGTTACTAAAACCATATATTCTCAATATTCCCAGGTAAAATTGGAAGATAAGGATTCGTTCTAAGAATATAATGGAAAGAGAATATCAAAGATGGAACAAAACTCCTTGAAGAGTTGCTTTTTAGTTCTTTGATCGCAAAGTTAAGTTTTAGGTTAATTCTAATTATGTGAGAGGTAAGCATCTGCAGCACACAAAACACTTTTCAATTATTTAAATTGCGGTAGAATTTCCCTTTTTCTTTGGAAACATTCCATATGGGTGTTTTTCTTGAGCAAGCGTATTACAAAAAGATTGTTTTTCTTTGAGTTCATTAAAGTTTTAAAGGTATAATATATTTGCTATTGTGATTGTAACGTTAACTTTGCTAAAGAAAAATATATCTTTTACAAAGCTCATGTAGAAAATGCCCTCTGTTATTTTTTTACTGATCAGTTGATAATACATATCTCTCAATTGTCTGTATTTGACTCTGAGAATAATTCATCAGCGAACTTGTTGGCCACTAAAGAAAATTATTAATTAATAGGGGTCCTTCCCTATTAACGGAACTGCATCCATAGAAACCACGTGGTGAATCCTAACAATCAAAATAGTATTTTTGAGTTTTTATAATCAACTCATCCCCAGGTGTACATGCACTGTCTGCGATATTCGAAACAAACCAAGGAAGGGCACAACGAAAGCATAAGTTTACCAGGTTGATTTAGATTTACTTTGGAAAAAATAACTGCGTTATGTATCCTTTTGTCTAGGTTATTTACGTGCTTTTCAACAATTTGAGCCACTTTTCTTTTTCTGTTACTACTGCTTCCCCTTTCAGCAACAGAGACGTTATATCCAGTTTCTTTTCAGCTCACTGGTAAATAGAATTCAGAACAATTGGATGATACTCAATCGTCCTTGTGCGAGAAGACAAGAACGTCCAACCATTTGCAGATATCATAGCAAAGGCGTTACAATCCCCTCAGTTAATTTAAAACACTGAGTGTTAGTCCGGTCAGGAATTTTTGTGTTGGCCGGTCTAGAAGCTTACAATTCAATCTGAAAAATGAAACAGGTGCAATTTTAAAAGTCTATCAAACAATCAATCTATAGGATACCTTTGTTGTAGTAAGAGTAATCAGGTGTTTTTGTTTCAATAGAGCGATTGTGAGGTCAATTCTTCCCTTTGTGCAAAAAACGAAATCTGTGTTCCCAATTATAAAGACAACACTACAGAATGCAAATGTCGTTATGCATCTGGATATACTGGAAAACCATGCGGTAAGTATTGTAGCTGGCGCTTTCACTAATTTTCGACTCTCTACTGATAGAATGCATGTTTAGAACGGAATCTTCTAAATACGAGGTGTTTTGCTCACTTCAAAGTTAATTTGATCTGCAACGGGAGGCTTCCGTATAAAGTGGAATTTTTCACATTGTTATCACTTGGTCAAATTTCCTGGTCGATCTTTCTTAGTATTTTTGGATACACCGAATGAGGATATCATTTTTATCAAGAAAACGAAAGGTAATGAATTTTGAGTTCGAGTTGCGAAATAACGAAAGTTGTCCCTCGCTTTTTCAAGAGCGTAAGACGATACAAAAATCTGGGTCTCCTATGGGAACAGAGAATCCGACTGGTGAGCTTCAAGGTAAGCCACTGCTGTGTTCATAATCATCTAACAACAAATCTTGCAAACAATAAAGATCCTGAGTTACCGCATTAGCTCTCCTCGCAATGCTTTATCAAAGAAGTGTAATCAACCTTATGATTTATTTCCGTTACGCATACGGCAGAAGCACGAAGCTGCCAGCAGCTCCTTAAAGATGGCGTCACGGCCAGTGCAGTGTACACGATCAATCCAGATGAAGACAAACCAATTCAAGTGTTGTGTGACATGGCCACAGACGGTGGAGGCTGGACCGTTTTTCAGAGACGTTTCGACGGTTCCGTTGACTTCGATCGAGACTGGAAAACTTACAAAGACGGGTTTGGAAATCTGATCGGCGAGTTCTGGCTTGGAAACGACAATCTTCACCGTTTGACAGCCGCTGATGACGTAATGTTGAGAGTTGACTTAGAAGACTTTGAAGGGAACATCATGTACGCTAAGTACGCCACTTTCAATGTCACAGACGAGGCAGAAAATTACACGCTCACTCTTGGAGGATATGCTGGCGAGGCCGGTGACTCCTTCACATCTCATAGGTACGCAAACGTACAATTTTTCAGGACCATTTTACACGTAAAAGTTGGAAATTCGGGAACTGTAACAAAAATAAATGACCTTCTACAAGCCAACAATTATAAAGTACCTCCCTCCCTAAAAGATTGATTAATATATAACACAAAAATCCTGAAATAAAGCCAAATAACACTCATAAGTAAGTCTGACATCCTGTTATTTGTCTTTCTGTTCTCTTTCCACATGTTTCAATGAATTTTTTTTTATTTGTAACTAAAAGTCATTTCATAATGTTCTTCATTTATAAATTTCCTTTATAGTGAATATCAGTTTTCCACCAAAGATCGAGATAATGACCAGTCACCATTCTTTAACTGTGTACGGGATTATTAACTTCAGTGTTTTCAATGCGATCTTAACGGTTTGTATAACGTTACCAACGGCCAAGCAAGGGTTATCTGGGAGGGCTTCCGAGGCCTTTACTATTCGCTCAAACGTTCTGAAATGAAAATCAAGCCCAAGGATCAATGATGTGTACATATGTGTGCTTCCATTATCTTATTACTGATTTACTAAAAGTCTCTGCAAGTTCACTTACAATACAAACTTTATTGACATTCCAATAAATGGCTTTTCAATGCCAATTTACAAAAACTCAAAAATTTACAGATATATATAAAAACGATTACCTTTAAATCAACTTTCAACTTTAACTCTCGTTTTTATCATTCATGAGTAAATTTCTGTATCCAGATAAACTTGAGCTTCTTTTTAAAAGTAGTGATATTTACAATAGATTTTAAARAAGTGTCTAAAGTCTAAAGTCTCAAAGGCTTTAGTTTAAGACTGTAACTTCAACGGGAAAAATTAAAATAACACAGCTTTTATTCACCATTCCTAGAGTTGATCGAGCTTAGCTTAACCATTGACAATGATTCTGAAAAATGAAAGCTGCAACCAACATCTGCACGTATGCACGTTTCATTAGTTGCGGGTATAAGTACAAGAGAACCTAAAAATAAAAACAAGCAAACAATTTCAGGTGTGGTAAAAACTGGAGTAACCAGGTCGAGGACACTTTTAGTCACGCATAAAATTTGTTGAGAAAGTGTCTAAGGACCAATCATAGGGAATAGTGAAGCAAACCAACGTAACCCTTGATCTCTTTTGATACTCAGTTGAACATCGCTCTAATTAAACTTTTCGATTTAGTCCCTTTATTTGTCTCTTCCACTAACTCTGTTTCATGGAATAGACAACAGGATTAAGGTGATTCCTCAGAAAAAATAGTTAAAGAACAATTTTTTCAAACTTTCCAACGTGTATTTCGAATTATACATATAAAAAGGCAGTTAACTGTGCTTGCTTATGAGACGACGGGCCTTTAAGGTTAAAATTTAATTTGCATCATCGAGAAAGAGGCTTCGTGAACCCTTTCCGCTATATCTTTTTCCCCTCTGGTAAATTTTTTTTCAATATCTCCAAATTAAAGAGGACTATTTGTACACCAAAATTACGCAATAAAAACTATAGGTCACCTTTCTCGTTCAAGATGCAATGACGATCTTGCTTCTCGTCCTCGTCCATTTCACGCACAACACCGCTTTGATTAAATTGAATTAGCATTACAAAAGCATTTGCTTAAGTATGTTTTGCTTTTAGCCAATAGAAACATCACACTGCACGGGCATATATGACCACCATCTTGATATGTTTTGTTCTTCGTTTAACATTGATTTCCATGTAACTTCTACGTTAAAAATACAATAAACAACGTGAAAATGAAATAAAGGATGTCCGGTTCGCTTCATTTACTTTCAATTTAAATCATTAAACTTCCTGGTGTTTTTGATACAAGTAATCCCGCCGCTATTTTAAATATTTTCGTTAAACCTGTTTTGTTTCGCCCTCTTCCATTCGCTAAGCTAATGTATTCACTCTGACGAATAGCTAACATTCGAAACGTCAGCTTTACTGACTCTTTAAAGTGCTTGGCCATTTTAAATTGTCAATTCAGTGTATAAAACCAATTTATCTGATTATAACCTTGCCAAGTAAAGCTGTGGGAACTGAGAAAACTTTTCTGCTTTGAGAATTTCTGTTCGTCGTTGCGATTGTAATGAAAATTTTCAAAATTTATGTTCAATCTCGCAAAGATTCACTAAAAACCCAGTTGTTGGTTAAAACTCGACATTGATCAGAATGAACCATCTTTAAAACATTCGCTGTTGGTCGCATTCCCATACCTCTTGAACATTTGACTCTAAGATTCTGCATCAAGACTAAAAAAACCAAGAGCAAAAGTGTGGAATTCGACTTGCCGAACCATTTTTAGTGTAGTTGTTATAATAATTTCTATAAAACTTGATTGCAGAGTGAATCATATTATAATGTTATTTCTGAGTGACTGCTGTGTTTTTAACGCGTTCTGATTGTTCTCGCAGTCTTGTTACCACATTCTGATGTACTAAGATTGTTAGCGGGCTTCCCTGTTTGTTCAGTTTCGCGCCCTTTTTGATCACATGACCTCTGTAACCCAGTAATGTCCCGTGTGTGAATCGGGTAAAATTTTAACCGTTTGTAGTAGAGATACACAATATGAACGTTTGTTTTGTTTCCTTTTTCTTTCGACGTAGAAACCAATAAGAGAAAGTTTCATCCATACAGAATTATACGAAAAAGTCATCTCCCTCGCTTATCTATTGGTATTTTCTCATATACTGGAGGGGTCAATTTAATAAAACTTCTACACTCGTAATCTACAAGTTGGACCGTTATATTTACAAGTGCAGACGAAAACGAGTTTAATAAACATCGTAACAAGTCCAGGTTACAAGTGTCCGACTTCTAATTACAGGTGTAGCGCTACGAGTGTAAAAGATGGTAAGTACCCAAATTAATAAAACTTTTACAAGAGTCCAACTTGTATTTTTACAAGAGTTCGACTTGTAAATCACAGGTGCAAAATACATGTCGCATGTCACTTTTAAACGCTGAGTACTTCTTCTGAAAAAGGACATGGGAGTGTCACAATATGTCATCTTCTAGTGAAGAGGAACTCGACGAACTGCTAAGACGTCAAGTTATCCGTCGACCTAGGAATGTCCAAAACAGAAGGCTTTTCGACACCAAAAATCCAAGGGAATTTCGAGAGAAGTTTCGACTGCCTGTGGACACCTTCTTCCGCCTTTTGGAGTTAATAGGCCCGCGCTTGGAGCATAGAACGAGACCTAACAGAGCAGTAACTGCAAGACAGCAACTTTTAGCATTTCTCCACTTCCTTGGAACAAATTCCTTCTATCACGTAATGCACTCTTTTTTTCATTGTATCTCCACATCAATAGTATGGCATATCATTCATCGCGTTATCCCTGCAATACTAAGCTTCAAGGGGGAGTTCATACGATGGCCTGGCCAGCCTCTAAGTATCGCCGCTAAACTCAGAGACATCGCAAGCTTTCCGTGTGTTGCAGGATGCGTCGATGGAACTCACCTTTAAGTGAACCCACCTCACAATGATGAAGACGCCTACGTCAACCGCCATCATTCCAAATCTCTGAATGTCGCCATGGTATCAGGCCCAGATTACACATTCTACTTCTGTAGCAGGCGATGCCCAGGAAGGTGGCATGATTACGAGTGATTAAAGAAAGCTGACTGTGGACCGCCTTAGAGCAACAGGGGAATAGACCATTCCCAAGAGCAGTTATTTTAGGCGACCCTGCCTTCGCCTGTAACAATTGGTTGACCCCCCCTTTCAGAGGAGACGCAGAAGGGGCTCGCTCCAGGTTTAATGAGGCGCGTAAGAAAACACGATGCACAATCGGGAGGGCATTTGGCGTTCTCAAGAGAACGTTTTACGCTCTCCACACGGGTATAAGAGTGAAAAACATGACGAGAGCTGCCGAGCTTGTCCAGTGCGCTGTTGCATTGCACAACCTCTGCATCCTATTTAGCGATAATGGCTGTGATCTGCTGGACGATGCAGATCTCAACAATGTCCACGATGAATTGGATATCGGTCCTGGAGAGGAACGAGAGCACAGAAGGCAGCAGCTGTTGCAGCATTTCCTATAAATGTGAGGACTTATACAAATGACGCTGAATTAAAAACTGCTACTGTTTTAATATCGTGCCAATTAAATGGGCCATTTTTTATTCAGTGACAATAATCATTACCTTTTATTACACAAAGTCACTTACACCTAACTTCCAAAGGAAAAAATGAGTGTACAAGTAAGTCATAATTCTGATATCGCCCTGAATCAGCGCGGGTGGCGCCGCAAGCTGAAAGCAATCAAGACAACTTAACGATCGAGACAGTAAAAAAAAATTAGCTGTACATCTACAAAGGCG